TGAATTTACATTGCTTTCAGTCGAGCATACTATTACATCTCTCCCTCCAATGCTCTCAACGTTCTCAAGTGGCGCCTGTTGAATATGCGTCGGACGATCGAGTCAGCTCTCTTGGCCGAGCTAGACACGCGTGGCTTTGTCTGTCCAAAGTGCGCCAAACGGTTTAGCACTTTGGATGTGGCCCATCTGCTCGATCCTACGGGCACGGCTTTGGTTTGCGATACACCTGGCTGTGGAGCGGAACTGAGGGACAACGAGGATGCGGAAGATGTGAGGAGGAGCAAGGATCGTATGAAACGCTTCAATGAGCAGCTTGGACCTGCTTTGAGCGTCATGCAAAAGGTTGAAGGCGTGGTCTTGCCTCCGTGAGCGACGTGGATGCCGTTCATACGTCACTCCCTCTCCCTGTGCTCTCGCCGCTCACCCTCACCAAGCCCTTTCGTGTTTGCCAGGTCGGATCCTACAGCGTGGATAGAGCGATACGGATCGACATGGCGTCAAGCAGCAGCCGAGTCGCTCAAATCTGGAGCTGCAGGGTTCTCCGCGTTGCCCAGCGCAAGCTCGGTCTTGCCCTCCGCAGCCAACGTTGCGACACCTCAGCTGTCCGTCGAGCTGTCTACAGACGATCCCGATTCCATCCTGGCTAGAGAGGAGAAGAAGAGGAAAGAAGCGGAAGCGAAGAGGAAAGCGAATGCTTTGCCTGATTGGTTGGCCAGGAGCACTGTCAGTGGAGAGAAGACGGGCTTGGATAGAGGCGCCGATAATTCTAGAACCAAAGAGAATGATGAGGAGCACAGGCTCCGCTTGGCGGAAGCCAAAGCGAAGGAGGAACAGGATGACTGTGAGCATTGCGAGGAAGAGAGGCTTCATTTTGAATCGCAGAATGAGACGCGCTGCTGACTCTTTGCGATGATCTCCAGATTACGCGCAATACGCCTCGTTACAGGCGGCCGAAGCGGCCTCTGGCACTCCAAACCCCGACGAGGACGAAGGGGAAGACGATATGGAAGAGATAGATGTCGGTGCGCCTGTCCAGACCGCAGGTGCCAAGCGCTCCAGAGAAGACGAGGCGCAGGAGGAAGCTGTTCAGAGGAGAAAAGAGGAAATCATAGAGGCAAACGGGAGTGCACAAAGTGGCGAGGAAGAGGAGGAGGATTTGGACGACATGGAAGAGGTGGCGTAGCGGGTGTTTGGGTGAAGGCATGGCCCATTCACACGTTCCCGGCGTGAGCATGGCAAGTCGCATCTCATTTGTTTGTGGGTTCGGCGGACATACACAATCTCATCGGCTTCGCTTCCGGGATCAGCAACGCCGGCAAAGAGTGTTTGCGTTTTCGTTTTTTTCGTCCGTTCGCATCGATGCCTTTTCCGCGCGCCCTGAAGCAACGTCTACCGAGTTGTGAAGCTTTCACCTCCCCACGAGCAATAGCGTCGCGTGCCAAGAGAAACCTGTGCCACCCGTGGCTCCACGAACCGAAGTGGGGATGTCAGTGTATGTGCGAATGATCACCACGCTGAGACGACTGGCAAGCTTCGTCATTCAAGCTCGAACATCACAGCAGGCTTGCGTCCGATTCTGCAAGGCAGATCACGAATGATCGTGGTGCGAAAGGGTGTCTGAATCACAAGCGTGACGAATGCGGAGCGGACTATTTCTCCGCACGCACGAACGCGCAGCGTACATGATGATGCGCAGCGCGTTGATGATACGACAGAAGATGGACTTGCACAGCCATCGGCAGGCAGGCAGGCAGCTGCGTACGCCCTCTATCTCTTTCGGAGCTGCACCCGACGAGCACAGATGCATTCAGATTTGGGATCTGTCGCCGGGGGTTCATTCGGACAGACCAATCCAGACTCCCTGCTGTGTCGAGAGCGCAACTGCGCAGCTCTGCTATCTGCTTGGCATCATATCGGGCCATCGCATCAGTCTATCTGATTAAGGTGAATCGTGAACGCAGCCAATTTCTGCTTACGGCAACGCACGACTGCGGTGGCCAGTCACGAATGTGCCAGCGTGGAGACCAACGAAGGGTGCGAAGCAAACCTCGAAGGCGAAAAAGAAGACTGCGGTGCAGGAATGAGATCGACTGAGCATCCAAGCTCGGCTAAGCTGTAGCCTTTAGGACGATCGAGTCTGTGACCAAGGTGGGAGGGCCAGCTTGACGCAGAGTTGCGAGCGAGATGCCGAGTAGTAGACGGCTGTGCTGTAGTCGGCTTGCTGTTGCTGTGGCTGCGGCTGCGGCTGCGGCTGCGCACAGTACTTACCCAGCGCTTCTTCCGCGAACGGATCGGATCAATATTGTAGGATGCTGACTCAGCCAATGGGTCCGAGGTTTTGGATGGCTGCTATCAGGTCCCGTGCGACCAGCTAGCCCAGCGTCCGCGCTTAGCCAATCCACCAAAGGTACAGGTATAAAATGCGTCTCGTGTACCGACCAGGTGCACTACTCCTCTCCTCCCCTCACAACATCTCATCCCTTTCATCATGACCACTCCTACCAGTGCCAATCTGAATACCTTTCCAGCTGATCCTCAGCATCCACCAGTGAGTCCTTCGGCTCAATCGCCGTCCCCATCCACCCGCGTTTATCCTGTCCAGACACGACGCCCAGCCTCTGAATTGGAAGGGCTCACCGGCCATGCCCCGCACGACGCTCGCGAAGCAGGTGCGGACGAGTGGATGAACATCGAGCAGATGGAGCAAGATCAGTCGGACTCGCAAGCTTGCTGGTGCACCTACCCCTACGAGCTGCCGGACCAGTCCGATACCTCTGAGGATGACGTCGTTGTCGAGCATCGCGATGCGGCAGGCCAATCGGATGAGCTTCGTGCCACGCCGACACATGCCAATTCGGACGAAACCTTGTCGACCGCACGCGCACCTTTTCGAAGCGAACATGCGAAGCGTGCGACGGTGCAGGAAGAGCCGGATGCTGAGGCGTCGCCTCCTGTCGATGAACTGGCGCACCAAAGCGAAGCCGAGGGACGAGATGACCATCAACATCGTTGCAGCCGCGAGCGTGGCCCAAGAGGCCAAAGTCGCCACGGCATCAAAGGATCCATCACACATCATTCCCATCCCTGCCATGGTCGCCGCGGACCAGAGGAGTCACGCTCTCGTGGTCCGCCGCCGCCCCGCGCGTGCCATCATGATCATTCAGGTCATCACTGTCCGGAGTCCTTTGATTTCCATCCCATGAGAGGGGCCGAACGTGCGCTCTTTGACAAGGCATTTTTGAACGAACCTCGTGGAGATTTCTTCATGATGCCACCAGGAGGCAGAGGGGGATTTGGCGGTCGTGAAGGCTTTGGAGGTAGAGGAAGAGGGGGCTTAGGAGGTAGAGGTAGAGGAAGAGGAGGATTCGAAGGTAGAGGAAGAGGAGGCTTTGGCTCGAGGTCTGGATTTGGAGGTAGAGGTCGACTTTCCCACATGGGCGGACCTGATCACCACCACCATCATCATCATCATCCTTTCCACGCGGGTCATTCGCACGAACACTTTGAGGAGCCGTTTCCCCAATTCGGTGCTCCACCGCATCATCGCCACGGTCCGCACGCTGCTTCTTGTCGCCGAAATGCGGCACGCAGAGATCGCGCCGCTCACTCGCACAGCCGGGATAGACTTGGCCATTCGCATGCTCGTGTCCCACCCAGGCATTCGTTCGGCTTTCACCCATGGCGCCAGCCTGGTGCGCCATCCGACAGGCCAGGCCCACGCGGTTTAGGTGCGCCGCCTTTGCCCTTTTGCGCTTTGGCAGGAGGACCGCCTGGGAGATTTGCATCGCCATGTTGGAATCCACCCGATTTTGCTGCTGAAGCATTGGAAGACCAGCTTTCCGGCGAAGCTGATTTCGAGCTGGGATGGGAGGGAGCGCGGGGTACGAGACGTGGGCGCAAAGGCCCGCCGGTGCATTGCCACTGTGCCTGCCTCTCTTTTCAGATGCCTTCCTTCGACTTGGATGGACGCGAAGCTCTTCACTGTCCACCCTTACATCTGCACCGGGCACCTCCACGTCGCTCAGCAGCAGCTAGTGAGGAGAAAGAGGACGAGGTGCTTTCTCGCCTCATGCATAGAATGCATCGACTGCAACTCCGACATGGACGAGAGCGCCACGGACACGCTCGACGAGGTGGCGCAAGGGGCTTTTGAGCATCGCAACGAAATCGTCAGCCAGCTTGGGGGCGTGCCGCTCGCGCTCGCCCTCCGCTGCGCAATTCGGCAGAAACATCGGAAGCGCTTCGACTTTTGGCCCCCTTCTGAGCACACGAGAAGACAAGCTTGACTCGAGGGCTACTTGAGCCTTTCTACACCCACTCGCCCCTGCCCATACCGAGGTAGAGCACGACCTGGCCCCGCATCTTGAAGAATCCCAAGACGGCAAGAACCCAATTTCGTGTACACGCACCTCCAAAGAAAGACCCCACAAAATCAAAAATAAGAAAGAGAAAACAAAGAAAAGAAAGATCTGGAATGGCGCCTCGCTGCTCCTGGTATCGCCCTGCTCCTCGTCCTTCCGCGCTCCGCTCTTCTAAAAAAACCGCAAAAGAAGGAAGAAAAAAAAGTGAAGACAGTATCACCTCGAAATCGGTTTCGGTCGGCCAATAAATGTGAATTAGCCAAAGGTCGCGAGCGAAAGGGAAAGAGAGACAAGGAGAGAGAGAGATCGCTGCGGACAAGCTGGCTGTTTCGAGTGTTGATGCCGAAGTGCTCTCCTTTAGACTTTTGGCTTGCCGTCCGCGTCGAGGTACTGCGTGAAGAGTGCGAGCAGCGGTGAGCGAGTGACATGAAAGCGGGAGGGAGGGAGGGAGAAAGCGAGTAGCGAGCGGGTGTGATGCTTGCCTATTGAAGCGTTGCTCATCGGATGCGAGCAATGTGGCAAATCTTGAAAAGCACGTTGCCGAGGCAAGCATCATTCCGCCCTCGTTCGCTGCAAGCTTTCATTCGCAGCAACGGAGGTGAACAAGGGAGCATGCAAAGGCCGCCCATCGGATGCCCTGAAGCCCTAACACGAACGCGGAGAAAGACAAAACTCACCTTTGCACAAGCTTCTCTCCAAGCTTTCTTTGCCTTTTCCCTTCCCTCCAGCACATCTCCATGGCACATGATGATCCTCTCAAATTCCCACGTGCTCACAGCTTGAGCATCCTTTGCGAATTGTTTCCTCCTATCCGACGTGGAACCTTGGCCTGCCGCTGCTCCTGCTGACCACAAGAAGGATTGGTGAAAGGAGGAAGAAGGGACCATGTATTTTGAAAAGAAGGAGAGAAATGGGATCAAAGAGGTTGGGCGACCTGATGAGGTCTTGGAGTATTGCTCGTTGCACGGGAGATTGAAGATGAGATCCGCAGTGATGAGAGACTGACAAACAGGGGCAGGGCAGAGCAGAAGAAGGGAGAATATGCGGGGAGATTCAGCTTAGCTGCTTTCTGCGTGCCCGTTCCCCCTTTCCGACACACATGCATTGGCAAACATGCCCGCACGTATCGCGATGCTCTCCACAACACCAAGCGATCAAAGGCCTCACCTTGGACTCGTGATGACAAAAGGCTACATCCTTGTTGGCAAAGGTGCTGAAATACCTGGCAGAGATGTCATCCTCGAAACCGTACCTCGTGTCTGGTGCATCCTTGCCGTACACTGCGAATGGCGGGGCGGTGTGAACGTCAAGACATGAGTGGGCCACGCATCCAAGGGAAGCAATGCAGCGCAGCCCAGCCCAGCGAGAGAATTTTGGGCTCGTGATTGACTTGGCCAGCATCGTCAGACTCTCCTGGGGTGAAAAGGAGCAGCATACATGCCCCCTCACGCAAACACACCACTCACATCCATCCCACTTCACATCCGTCCGCTTCTTCTCCAATCCATCCACTCCAATCACTTTGGCTCCTGGATAAGCCATTGCGAAATCCTTGATGTACAGATGATGCACCACATCAGGCGCGATGATATATCTTTTTCCCATCCAGGCAAACGCCCCCAAGCAAGGCGAGGCAAGCAAGCAAGTAAGTGAGGCAGGAGGGGTGTGGGCGTGTTCCAAAGTAGGAGCGCGTCAGCATTGGGAAGAGGCCACGGTCCCCCCTCCAAACCCCCACTTGGCACACACAAATACTCACTTGACCTCATTCCCAAGCTCCTCTATTCCTCGCTTCGTAACATCGTCCAAAGGCGTACTAGCCAATACCCAAACGCCTCCATCGCTCAACCTAGCAGCCGTGCTCCTACCACCCACAGGGATGATGCCGAACCTGCTAAAAGGCGCCGAAAAGGTTCGTAGCGTGGCGTGAGGGGAGGAGAGTAGGGTGGTGCTGGACATGCTTGCTGTGGATGTGGAAGGATGAGCCTGGGCAGTGTTAGTGTTGGAGACCATTTGATCGCTCATCTCCGAGGGCGGGCAGGCGCTACGATTCTTTTGAAGCGGCAAAATGTCCTTATTGTGATTATTGTGAGTGGGGATGGATGATGCTTGGCTTGCGTGCGGGAGGGGGAGGAGGAGGAGGAGGAGGAGGAGGAGGGGAAGATGCCTTGACGCGCGCGCCCTTGAAGTTTAGCTAATGTGCACCTGACCTGCACTTGACTGCGGAGCGAGATCGTGGCTCAAAAGGTAGACTGCACACCTACAGCTTCACTCACACACGTACTCGCTCACTCGAGCCACAGTCAAGAGTCAAGAGTGCTGGCACACGACACAAACATGCAAGAACCACATGGGTGCCATGCCCGATCACAGAGACGATTTGGATGCGATGGAGGGGGACATTCAATTCACGATTCAAATTCTTCGTGATTACAAAGATCAGGGCAACCCGTGGAGGCGCGATGCGATGTTCATGATTAGGAGCTTTGCATGTGCAGTGTTGAGCAAATGTATTCATCAGATTGTCATTCACAAGCAAACATCGTACGATGGATGACGCGGCCGAAACCGTCGGGACTCATACTCACAAGTGCTGATTGCATATACCGCCGGTACAGTACAATCGATTACGGTACATGCACACATCTGCATGTATGCTTGAATGGTGGAAGGGCGGCTAGCTGCTTCAATTCAAGATTGCTGCCTGGGCCTAGCCTGCACAGCAGCGCTAGCTTGATTCGTGTGAATTGAGCTTAAAACCAAAGCTTGCCTGCCTGCTTGCCTGCTTGCCTACCTGCTTGCCTGCCTGCCTGTCTAACTTCAACCTCCAAAGTTGAATGACTACGAATCCGAATCAATCTGAATCTGAATCTGAATCTGAATCTAAATCCTGAATAGTAAGTAAGCCGGCACTTTTTCATCGTGAATCGTGAGCACGTTGTTGTGATGATCAAAAATAAACGCCAGCTGCTGGATGTTGGCTTGCCTGCCCGTCAATTCTGCTGCTCATTCACGTCCAACGATTTGGCAAAGAAAGCATCATTATTCACACGGGCAGAACGCTGCGCTGCCTCGTGTGGAGCGATGAGGAAGAGCCTGCATCGGAGCGCTGAGAAGCAACGTGCGGCAGGCAGCTGCGTCCAGCAGCAAAGGCTGACTTGATAGAGCCGCCAATCGAATAGCTCATCAGGAAGAAGAAGCGCAGTCGTGATGAATGCGAATAATGCATCTTCAGAGAGCTCCCTCCGTCTTTACAGCAACGAGATGTCGAGGTGTTGAAGACGATATCGCTCGATACGTACGCTCACTGGCCGTCCCGCTGATCATGTTCAGCAAAGCTCACCTTCGAAAAGCGCTCAGCGTCGAGAGTGAGTGCAATGCAAGAGAGAAGCCTCGTCGCAAAATTTAAAGTGTATGCGCATCGGATTGGCAGTGAGGTGTAGAGATGACCAGATCAGCTTCTTCAGAAGGGCACTTTTCTGCTCTCATCCTCCCGCACCCTCGTCTTGATATCTGCGCGACCCAACGCATTTCCTTCGCTCTGCCAGCGAGATATGAATCCCTCCACCTTTGCGTGCACATCTTCTGCCGTCTGCGACCTTCCAAATGCATCTACAAACTTGCCCTCTGCGGCCGTATGGTGATCACGCATTGGCCAGCAGAGAGTCAGAAGAGGCTAGGGCATTTAGAGCGCGAAAAAAAAAGTGTCGCACCGAACTCACCAGGGTCCATGAGGTAGAAAAAGATGCTGTGGTCGACCAAGTAATCGTTCGAAGGGTCCGCTCCGGGCGGCGTGGAAAAGTACACTCGGAAAGCCTTGCACGCTTTCTTCACAGCTTCGTAGCTACCCGTCAAGCCAACCATTCGAGGATGAAACTCGGAGACGTAGGTGGATGTGGCTGCGAGCGTATCTCTAGCGGGGTCGCATGTGATAAAGATGGGATTGATGATCGCTCCGTACTTGGAATCTGGACGCGTCGTAGACAGCATACAAGCGATGCTCAGCATGCTGGCTTGTTTGCACATCCCACCAGCCTCGAGTGCACAATCACGACTCACCGATCTGATCGACCACTTTCCCCATCTTGTCAAGCTCTTCGGGACAAATATCAGGGCCTGAAGGAGCAGGCCTGAGATGTCAGAGGGGTCGAGCACAGCCTTCTGCTAGCCATTTCCCTTTCCTCGGTCCAGCTCCATAACGACGCCGCAGACTGCCCCA